GGTGTTATCTTCTATTCGTCCAGCAGTGGTTCAGTGTGGAGAAGGTTTTAACGGTGGTTATCTCTCTGTTTTTGCGATCAAGAATTTTCGGCTCCCATCCAGAAGCCATTTTCAGCTGATGGAACTGGCTGAAGCGCTGGGAATTTATCCTACATCTAGTTGCTCAGAGTAGTATAAATTCTCAGTGCTTCTAGCCAATTCCATAATATAATATATGTAAAACATTTTTATTTCTAAATAAACAAATGTTTTGGATTTTCATGGGTTAACATGATTAGGCCAAGAAACAAAATCTCCTGTTGGTATTATTCCAATAGGCTCTACTACTAAATAATGACTTTGGGAGTGATCTGGGTCACTACCTGAAGTATGTATGTATGTATGTATTCCAAGTTAGACACAGAGTTTGTCACAAAACCTAGGCTAAGTGCATAATTTTCATAATCAATAAGTGTAACTGTAGTGGATTATAAATGTCTGTCTGTGTCCTGGAACAGTGGTTGAACTTGTACTGCTGAGGTGAACTGACCAAAACAATGAAACACACTTGTCTATGGTAGTTATCACTACAAATCTAAAATGTGCAACTAAATGCCTCTCATAATCTGTGCCTAATGTACTCAGACTGCTCTAGTACATGCAGTGGGCATCTGAGTACATACTGGCACACGTGTTTTTCACACCTCAGTTGTAAATCCCGGGTTTACATGCATTTTGAAAAATCAGTTTAAATTGGACAAGCCCAATTATTCAGTTTTCCTGCTGTGCATGTGCATGAGCAGTGACTGAGGGCTGCAGCTGTTCATACACATGTGCGGAGAGCACATCAGATACAAACAGCAGTGTAAAGTACTTTACTGATATACTTGTGTTTGTAACGTTTGATGTGTCAGTGATGTCAGTTGATGTGGCACTTTAGAGAAACTACCACTATGCCTATAAAGTACTTTATTGATGAACTTGTATCTGTACATAATGTTTCATGTGGTAGTTTAGAGAAAGTGTGTGACAAAGACAGCCCTGCTCTTGGTCTCCTCTCCTCCGCTCACTCTTATTGCCATGGCGATGATGTTACAGTGAGTCACCTCCTCCTCGGCTCCACAAGGAACAGACCCAGACTGGGCTCTGTTTCCACGGAAACAGACTGGGGGTCTCCCCAACCCCCACTGGCTCTCAACTGGTTCAGCTCTGCTCAGACCTTCCTGTTTCTAGGTTGTTTCTGTCCTTACTTTGTCTGTTCTGAACATGGAAAATACAGTTTCTTCCACAAGTAGACTGGGCTTTAATTAAATCTTTACATGGCATCTGGCCCTATCGATTTGAAAATACTTTCTGAAAATGTCTGACATTTTATGTATACAATTACAGCACTCAAGTGTAAAATATTAATTCTCCTCCAAGATTGATCATTTTGTTGTCACAATAACCAAAAAGCATTATTAAAATCTGTTTCTTAAAGTTTTCAAAGCCTTGTGTCTCAAAATTGTTTAAGATACAAAGAAAAGTTTAATGAATATGAAACTAACTGCAGAAGAATACATGTGTTTTTATCTGGAGCACAGTGAAGATGTTTGTAGCTCTGGGTCTGGCTCTGCTCTTTGGCTGTAATGGTTGTGTGCCTTCAATCTCTCATCCCACACAGTGAAACCAGCCACTCTGCACTACCTTGTACTGTGTCTGCTCCAACCATGTTCATTGAAAAGATCACATCAAAATATAAACTAAACTGTGACTAAACCCAGAATTAACCCAGGACTAGGCTGAGACTAAACCCTGACATAGGACAAAACTGGACTGGGAGAATTTATCAGAAAGTAAATAAATTTTACAAATTATGCGTGTTTTCCTTATAACTTATGTAAATAAATAAATAAATAAATAAATATTGTTATCACCTAAATTAAAATTTGGTCAATGCCCACTTTTGTGTTAGTTGTCTTTTCAAAAGCAATACTGCTTAATTTATTCATTACTATGACAAAATATATATATATATCAAATCAAATGATCTATCTTTATTTATCCCTAAAGGGCAATTTAAATACATTGAACAGTTGAGATACAAGAAGATATATTATTATATTACATCCATGTAGATGATAGTAGTTGTAGTACTAGTGTGCTTGCAACGTTATCCGCTATGTAGTCAAAACATTTTCCAATGCAAGAAAAAAACAACTTTATAATTCTTGTCCTTGTGCAAATGGAAACAGTTGGTTCGGTATCGGGAGCACAATTTACAAAGCACTTAACAGAACTGTAAACGGCCTTTGTGATGCCTGAAAAGCCTCTTCTGAGAACGCCGATCAATAACAATGCCTCTCTGTGCGCTGGCTTCATCAGTCACTCTCCATCTTTCCCTTTTAACATTAGATTACTGTATTAATGTCCATGAGAACTTCTCCAGACACTCGGTCAAGATATGATCGACATTACATACACTCACAAACAAGCGAGAAAAAGCCAAGCCCGGGTAACACACGCAGGCAAGTCAATAGTTTCAACTGTGACGGTTCAAATGGGGATAATAGTGCAAATCAAATCAAATCAAGTTGTGTCAGTTACCAAAACTCGCATGGAACCCTCACAAAACAATATAGAAGCTAATCAGGGTTTCCATTATTAAATAAATATCACAATAAAAGGCAAAAGTTACATAAAAGATCATAGTAAAATGTATTATGCATTGGCAAGGAGAAACGTGGAGCATCGAGTGATTGAAGGTGACCTCAGTCTAATTGGTATTAGTCTAAATTTAAATGTCTGATTACATCCCTGCAGGAAGATGCACCAAGCTGCCCTGAAGTGGGTGGGGAAGCAACACTGGCATATACTCAGAATCTCTTCTCTTATGCAGTTATCTATCATAATGCTGTATATGACTATAATAAACACATGAGCAAATGCAGATAATGTATGTAATTGGCCTGATTTGTTGCCTAGCCAGCCAAGAATAACATGCGTCTTCAATACTTTACAAAGACGTGTAGTCTGGACTTCACTTTTATTTCCCAGAGTTTAGCTGGATGTGATTGACAGGTGGATTCAGCCAATTAGAGTAAGATGGTTCATCAGTATCAAAAGAAACACAGCAAAAAAAAAAAAAAAAAAGAAACAAACAAAAAAAAAAGAAAGAAAGAAAGACAGTAAGAGAGAGAGAAGGAAGAAAATAACACAGACAATAGTAAAACAAAGTGGATATCTGTCGAATCAATGAGCAAAGCACTAAATAAACCAGACTGAGAGACCTTCAATATTCAGAGAACTGGATCCCAGGCCTCTGGACTTGGTTCTTGTTTACTGTTGCTAAGAAATCTTCAGTTTGGGGCGTGTATATTTTCTTGAATTAAATGTTGTCAACTAAATTGTTATTCAAATATAAATGAGTAAGTAATGTATGTTTTTGTAATGAGTAGATATTTATCATAGTTTTACATCATTCAAGTGGCAGTTTGTGAAGGGAAGCTGAAAAAGGAAGAAGACCTGAGTTTTAAAAAGGAGTCCCTCTCCTAGAATAAATTTGAGTTTTGGTTCATTCTTACAGTACAGTTGCTGTGTATGTTATGTCAACATATATTTTGAAATATCAGGTTAAATTCTAGTTGTGTTTTGTATTGTTTCTCCCATGTCCTCGGTGCAGTTTCGCTCCATTCTGTCTGTGGATGAGGTCGCTATGCCCTCTGCTCTCCCTCGCCTCAGCCGTGATGACATCACCACAGCGGACGATTCATCTTTATGTTCATCAGAATCAGCCACATACACACACACACACACACACACACGCACACTTACGCACACACACGCACACACACAGAGCAAAGAGGAAAACAGTGGGACATCCAGTATATGTGCTAGTACCAAACAGAGCAGGGGAATATAGCCAGGAGAGAGGGGGGAGAGGAGAAGCTAGAGACCATCGTGCTGGGGTAGGCAGAAACCTCTGACCTCAGGACCAACAATACGTCTCAATAAAGAGTAGTATAGACAAATGTGATGAGTCAGGCTGGAGGCTTACACAAAAACAAAGACAAACTCTACCTCCCAGGAGAGAACTTCACAACCTCTGTTTGATCACAGCCCCCATAGATTTACCCCGAAGGAGCTTGTATTGAAACAATGTTCTACTAAAACTCTCCATAAGCAAACTGATATGAAAGAGCCAGTAATGGCCTAAGGAACAGTGTGCTTACTGATTAGGCCTGTCACAATAATTACATCAACATTATGGCATTATAAACTTATTGTTAAATAAATGATGAGTGGACCAATATATTTTAGAACTCAGTAATTATCATGTGTACATTTACATTACATTCTGTTTAATAATGTTTTTTTTTTGTACTATAAGATTTGAGCTGCAAAGTTACCTGGGATCCAGAAAACATACTTCTTCAATATTTTACAAAGATGTGAGATTGGTCATTCTTGAATCTCCCCAAGGTCAGATGGGCATGACTGACAGGTGGATTAGCCAATCAGGGATCAATGAGCAAAGCACTAAACTCTAACGCAGGGGTGTCAAATTCAAATTCACATAGGGCCAAAATTAAAAACTGGGACTAAATCGTGGGCCAAATTAAATATTTATTGAAAAATTTCAACAACATCTACATTGCGTAAACATTGAATCCAGAACAAGCATAAAATAATAACAAAATTTTAAATAAATAATATCTCTATAGCCTATATGTTGCCAGCGGTCCAGCTCTAATACATGTTTGATATGATCTCAAGGGCCAGATATAATTATATTGTCCAAATTTGGCCCCCAGGCCTGAGTTTCACATGTCTACTCTAACATATCTAATTGTTGCTGCTCATGCCTTTTAATGATACTAGGATTTTCCTGCTCTATTTATTACTTTATCAGTGGCAGAAGTTTCAATTTATTTTTATTTTTTTTATTTCTATCAATACATCATGCTTCAACATTTATTATCATGCCAGGCCTATTCCTGATCCTTATAGATTTAGCAAAAGTGTAGTTTGTGTCCACTCACATAGTCATGGAAAGCCTTGGCCTCACTCGAGTGTTCGCAGGTGTCTCTTCTCTCTGGAGCAGCACAGTACAGGTCCCAAAACACACTGTAACAGAAATGTCAATGAGGAAATGGATAAACCACTTCTGCAGAGCAAAATCACTGAGAGAGATGAGTTAAGAATGAAGCCACATGTAACTGTATTATTCTTACCACCACCAAGAGTGAAGGAACCCCGGAGGCTCCCCTAATGTGATATTTTTCTCCCATCGGATCTACACAGAGAGACAAGATAGAAGCTTCCTATACATTAAAGTGTAAAAACAAGTTGGACATCTGAATTAGGCTCATTACAAGTGAACTCTTCTTAACACATGCATTATGTAATTGCATTATGATCTTCAAGCCATGGGTCCCTAAGTGGGTAAGTGAGTCCCGCTGCAGCTAAAAGCCTGTGTCTATTCATAAAGAGCTGAATATATATATAGAAGTGTATTGTACTTGTGTGAAGATGTACAGAGGATGGTTTGCTCACTCAAAGCTGTGTAAGCCGAACCCCTTTGCATTTTAACATGTCTGTCCTTTTGTCACCCACTTTTCTTCTAATACAGATGCAGACAGACACCAAGGTCACATGCTGGAGAGGGCTTAGACATGATATTGATGTCACATAGAGATGTACATAGAGTTTTTAACTGTGTACATCATTAATTTCTAACTGGGATTTCAGTTGATTCATGCGTGTTTGAATGATTTGTATTGCCCTGCATTTGAAGGCTGAGTGTTCTGAAAATTCTTGTAGGGTTAAAAAATGTCACATAACCATCATAACAATAAAAAAGCTTTTATTGTGAAATTCCACAAGAAGACCAGGAGCATAAAATCAGTTCTGCAGTTTTGTTTGTACAGAAATAAACCTATAATATGACTTCTTTGATGACCACATAATGTCGCACTTGAAGAAGCTAATGTATTCCGTATTGCAGTAATGAAGTCGTCTGTCTTGATCCAGTTAAATGCAATCAATTATCAAAATTGTAAATTTATTCCAAAATTAGTTTTATATTTCAGTGTTCTGGTTTAGCCACAGCCTTCAGAGACTTCAATTAGATTGTCAATTAGAAAAAAAAAGTCTTTATTTTATGGTCATCCAGACATATTTCAGCATCTATTACTTATCATGGTTTTCTTCAGCTACGATGACATCAGAAATACAGTAACATGAGTTATATCTTATAATAGAGAAGAACTTATTCTCTCATCATCACTCAAGTGGGAGCCACGATGCAGACCAAACGCGACAGATCACATTTCTCATTTTAATTGGCTATAGTCTGTTCTCCAGCACTACTCCGCAGTTCATGTCAGGATAGTGTCTTGTACCTCATGTGTAGGAGAGAAAACATCACTGAATGAGCCCACTGCCCACATATCCTGAGTCTTCAGTGTTTTGAAGAAGGGCAGTCTAAACAAGCTCTGTTCAAAGTTGTCATGACCGCTTTCCCTCCAGTCATGGATAAGAGGAAATAGTGTGGCTAGCTTTCTGCTCGTTTGTATCTGGAACACCTCCAGCTCTGCTGACACTTTTACTAGAGACTGTAAAGACAGGGGCTTTCTTACCGGAAAGCCCTCATTCATCAGAGTGCTTTAGATGCTACAGCCAATTATATTTGATCGTGTTAGTCTGCAAGTCCTGGGTTGATCTTGAAAACATTGTCAGCTTTCAGTAAAACTGGAGAATACACGGCATGGATACTAGTATTTGGGAGACAAATATTATTGTACTAAAGATGTTGAGACATGGTAACTGGGAAAAAAGCTCTAAAATGTAGGTTTTAAAAATAACTTTCAGATAATCTGTTTCCATAGTCCAGTCTCTCAGTGGAGGGCCCACCACCCGCTTCTCTCCAGGGAAACGTGTTTGCTTTGCCTTAAATGTTCCACAATATGGTATTAAACAAATCTATACATTTAGAGATATTACAAGTGTCATTACCTTTTTAAAAATGCATTCTTACTGTAAGTGGACTCATCTCTCCACCTGTAACTTGGCCTTCTTGTCTCCATGGAGGTAAATACATTTAAAGGCATACTGTGAAACATTTGAGGAAAAGCAAAAGCACCTCTTGGAAGCATACATGTCCCTCCAAAAGAAAAATTACGTAGCGCACCTTTAATCTTCCCACTGCCAACTTTTGAATAGCCACAGAACTTTACCATTTAATACTAAATACTAATAACACTTAATAACTTCATCTTCTTTTTATGCTCACACTTAAAAATTGAACATTGGACAAAATGCACAACATATATTGCTACAGTCTAAGCTGCTGAGTAGATAAAACAATAAAAAGTGAGACCTATAGTCCCTTTCCTACTAATAATACAGCGCTTATGTTAACAACCCCCTCCACTGCTGCCTCTGACCTGTTGGCTCAGCAGTGAGAGGCCACACTCATTCAATTAAGAGTAGACTTACTGGAAGCAATGTTTAACGGTCACACTAAAACTGGACAGAGTGAATGCAGCTCACCTCTGATAAGAACGTCTGTGCAGACTTCTGTGCTCCCACGTGCAGCAAGTACTCGTACACATACAATGCTAACCTGCAAGAGAGCACAGGGACAAGAGGAAGAGTTAAACAATAAGAAACAAGTAGGCTAAGTAAAAGTCAGGTTTATGGAGATGCAAGCCCATGCACAGTAAAGATTTTTCAGTGCAATAAACAATATATATATTTTTTAAATTTAATTTATCTTGGTTTGAGACCAGACTGATGGGCCTGTCCTGGTTTAGTCCTGGGTTTAGTTACAATTTTGTCCCAATTTATTGAAGCAAGTTTGAAGGCACCTTACAATTAATGAAGATAATATGATTTAACTGAGATTGAGGAGCTGGACCACACCTCTCCAGCCAACCACATCTTATCTCAACCACGCCTTCAATTACCCAGAAGCCCTATTTAAATGGCCTATCACAACAACACCGTCCATGTCAGCTCTCTCGACCTCCTCCTTGCTACCCCTGTCTTTCGCCCATCCTTCAGTCTGAAGATATCGTCATCGGGGGGGGTTCTGAATCAGTTGGGCGACCATTTTTGATTGGAGATTGTACCCCCACCTCTACGTCTGTCCACCGTCAATAAACATCTTTATCGTATTCCATTGTTGTGGCGTGGTTGGGGTGCCCACAAACTGAACCTTTTTTGTTGGATTTCTATATTGTCTAAAGCCAAAGCCCTTAACCACATGCGAACAGACCTGTAGTACTGAAAACAAAAGATGAATTCACTGATCATATACAGTACAATATGTTTGTGAATGAGAGCTGTCCAGTGTTCTGAAAAGAGCCTTGAAGAGTGTGTGAACTGATGTTCAGATACATGTTTGAATCAAACTATTAAATTAAACCAATTTTTAAAAATGTGCTGAAATTAAAAAAAAAACCTTTAATCTCAACATGCAATAAAGTTCAACTCCATGAGACCTAAATATAAAATACATGATGCCAACATGTGAATTTGGAGAGTCAAGTAGCTCCAGAATACACAGTGTTACAAGACTGTCACAGTCTGTTACAATTGTCACTCGAAAAAGAGACACATTTTAGTTCATGTAAGCCCTGTTATGCTAACAACGCTTAATGCTAACCTTAGTAAGATGTTCCTGACAAACAATATCCACCTGCTAAAAGAGCAGACATACTGTGAAGAGTCTTTGTGATAAAACATCTCACTCCAACAGTCTACACCAGGGAGCACGCCGAAACACTTCTCCAGTGGCTTTGATCACAGCAGGAATTAATTAAAGCCTTGATTTGTTCATCAGTTCAGTTGAGTGTGTGTGGATGTGAGGGAGAGAGAGAGGAGCGACGCCTTTACGCATACAGGACACACACTGACATGGGAATACACGGTGTCACAGAAGCAGTAAAATACTCTTTCCATAAGTGGGAGATGTGTCGGAATTACAATAATACAGGTATTATAATGCAGATTGACAATTAAAAGATATGAAATGTGGATTCACATTTGTGCAATATTTAAAGCCACACATAAGACATTTACAGACAAGTTTTAGGACATTTCTGGAAAAGAAAATCATGTACTAAAACTATATAACTTTTAAATACATCTTAAAAGAATAGATGTATTAAATATTTCTCACTCATATGTAAGCAAAATGTATTATTAAACAGTATTAATAAATGGACCCATATGATTCTCAATCTTTCTCCATAAGAGCCGTGTCTAACCAACATCTTGTCTATATGGTAACAACAAGAAATCAACATTTATTCAAGAACCCACCAGTCACTAAAGAATTAACAACAAAGTTACAACATTATTTTTCCTGACTTAAATCACAACATTTCTGAACTAAAACTGTTTCAGAAAAGCTCAGGGCATCCCATATTATCTCATTAAATTTGCAAATAATCCTAGGCATTTCTCAAAACAAAGCTATCCATTGTGTAACTTTTCTGGTAGAAGGTCCATCAAATGATTTCTTTGTGGAGATATTATTGCTTTGTCTGGAATGTTTCACAGTATGATATTAAACCTTTCCATCTCCATGGAGACCAAACCAGACCAAGTTATAGGTAAGATCCACCCCACTCACAGTCAGAATACTTGTTTTTCTTGGTATTTTTGAGCCATAAAACCACCCGTAATTTAATAAATATGTTTAATGTCATACTGTGGAACATTCCAGGCAGAGCAATGACATAACCAAAGAACCAAGCAGATGATGGACTCCCAAGCAAAAAGCCACAAACTGCACCTTTAGCAAAACTATCTCAAAAATAAATAAGTTGCTGATGAAATTTGCTCAAAGATGCTCAGAGACTCTCTCACTACCTCCCCAGACAGCTGCTGTGACCCACTGTATCCAGCCTCTTCGCTCTCTTTTTTGTGTATAAAAATAACTCCTCTAGACGTCTACCTGTCTGCTCATGATGTACTGCCCACTCCCTTGTGTCGGTGGCCATCTTGTTTTAACCATAAAAAGATGAAGAGTAGCTGGAATCTCCCTGACTTCTCCTCTTCTTCCTCCTCTTCCTCCTCCTCTTCCTCCCTAGTGGCACCCTGGCTCTGATGTTTAACCAGAGAAATAGAGACAAGAGTGCTGCACAGGGACAAGGTTAACTGAACAATGAGAGGCTTGACAAAACTCTTGACACCTCAACAACCCTGTATGAATAAAATACGTGATTTTTTATTTTTTTTTTTATGGGAACATTTCCGAGGAACAAATGTGCTTGTGTTCCAGCGTTTTGTGCCAATTTATTCTCCCCTTTGAGTCCCAATGTCAAACACAACGGCATGGGTACGCGTGTAACTGATGCTTTACAATCTCTCACTTATCCAGGCCTGCTCTGATGGTTTCATACAGAATGAGAAGAGTGACCTGCACCCATAACACATTCAAGGGTGAACTTGCAATTGATTTTACAAGAGCTACAACAGATCAGCACTGGCCTCTACATAAGAAATGTCCAGGAATAGTGAAGCAGATATAGAAGTCATACAAGGTGAATGGGATAATGTTAATGGGAGGTTGGCTTGAGCCAGATGCTACAGATCTAAATTGTTACAATGGTCAGCCAGATGTTTTCTCTTTTAGATTGGTGTTAAAAATCTGATTCTGTCTTGCAATGGAAATCATTTGAGGCTAGAGTTGTCAAAAGTATTGAAAATCTGTATTGAAACTGATACACATTTGAGTAGATATTGATACTAAAAAAAGTCACACTCACAGTACAAAAATGACTATTTCCTGAAAATGTCTAGAATGATCTTGAACTGTTTCAGAACTAGACTGCATAGACTAGTATACACCCATGGATCACTATAGCACCTACTTGGACCATGATTTACACAGATATAAGGCCAGACAATAAAAAAAGAACATTTAATTTTCATTATTATTAAGATTTAATGTTATTTAATGTTAAGAAATTATGTTTTATTTTCATTGTAGTATAGTATCGAGACTATTCCTTAGTATTGAAAATGAGTCTGAAATTTTAGTATCATGACAACACTACTTGAGACACGTGAATCAACTGTTTGAGCAAACTGAGGTCTCTACAACAGGAGAAACACACTCTCAAATTGACCACCACTCGAGGTTGTGATCAGCTTCTAAAGTCTCTGAATGAAAATGGTCATGTTAATATGACATAAAAGTCAATACTTCAAGTTAGTATAAATACATTTAAAACATATTCTTATTTAGGCTGCAATTTTTGTACTAACTACTGCTTGATTCATTTTGACATCCCTGTAGTTACAAAAATCACAAAACACAGCATTGCTTACATTACTTGGTCAGACCTTTAGTTACAAGATTTCTGCTTGTTTTGAGACTTTGAGAAGAAAGCGAATGGCAGTGCCTAAAGTGGAGCACCCTTTTTACCCAGATCAGCATTTAGAAGGGACCAGTAGATCACTGCTAATCAATTTACAGCACTCCCATGGCGATCAAAGCCTGGCTCTGACTCAAGTCGCGCAGCCAACGACTTCTCTGATTGGATTTGGCCCTTATAGATTAGCTGGGATTATTTCACCCCTGTTGAAGATGAAACCGGAAGCTATTACACTGTGATCATAATCGACAAATATTTACAGGACTTGCTGACACGATGACAAAATCTAATATTATGATTAGTTTACCATTTATTCATGTTTTCATTGACTATTAGCAAGCACAAAACGTAATGATTTGATATGCCAAAGGAGGCTGTATGAATAATTAGTACAGTTGAGATAAGAAGATCCCATAAGAAAGAACATTACATTTTAACAACTACCACAAAAAAATGAAAAACCAACCCCCAATATCTGTATTATATAGGTCAGAGCGGATAGTGGCACATTTATTATACATGTTAAAAATGTCAAATACAATTTTAAAACTGAGAAAAAATAATAAGGGAAATCATGTTTTAGTAGTGTAGTTTTTTTAGTCAGGCAGGTCATGAATAAAATGTAATGGGTTCAGTGGCAGAAGGTAATCAAGTACAAAAGTAAAAATACAACACTTACTGTACGTACAATTTAGGTAGCTGTACTTTCTACTCCACTACATTGTTTTAGCTGGCATGAAAAGTAAAAAGTACTTTTCTTTATGGCTTGAGTCTGCTGAAATGGTTGAGAGTTATTTTTAGCATATTTGAGTTAATATCCAAAACAGTTAGAAGAATTGAAAAATCTACTGAATCACTTAAAATCAGCTAAATTCTTTGTCAAAATCACTACATTTGATGCTTTGATTGTGTGAAAATTTTCAGCAAAATGCTTTTTACTCAAAGTAAATTTTGAAACAGGTACTTCAATAGTTTTACTTAAGTAGATTTTTCATTTGATACCTTTCATTTTACCTGAGTAATCATCTGCTCCTGTATCTGTACTTTTACAGTACAGATACAGGAGTACAGAGTAACAAACTTGAGTACTTCATTCACCACTGGGTTTTATGAGTTGATCGTTTTGGATATAGCTAGTTTTTTAGAGACAGAGAGTCACTGAGAATCACTAGGCGGAGTTTGCTTTGGGCAAGTATGTTAACCACCTCAGGTAACTAGGTCACAAACAACTCAC